GGTAGACTTAAGTTCAGCTCAAATAAATACGCTCTCGAACAGAAGGATATAATTTTTTTTTAAAGTTAATATTATATCAAATATATTAATTTATTTTATTTCTTTGTTTACTGATATTTCAATGATGTTTGGTAGTTGTGTAAATATGCATATTTGATTGATGAAATTTATTAATAATATGAGCATTTTTTTAAAAATATTTTGCTCATAATCTTCTATTTTTTCTCTTTATGTGCATGTTAATTTAAGTTTGATTTTTCTTTTCAAGCTTGAGCTCGGGCTGTATATGTGATCGAGTTGAGCTCAAGTTTTTCAATTATTAGACAAGCCGAACTCGAGCTTAATTTTTTAGGTTTGGCTTGAGCTCGGCTCGAGCTTGACTAAGTTTCAGTGAGACGAGCTTGAACACCCCAAAGCTCAACTTGGCTCGTTTGCAATCCTAAATAAACAAGATACCGGTGTTACTTATGGAAATTCTTGATGTACTATATAATTTGGAAAACTGATACAGAATACAGGTTGAATAAAATGTTTCCAGTGTATGTGCTTTCTCTCTACTATTTTTAGATTGACTGTAAACTTAAGGTATTTGAATTGATTGACAACATTTGGAGTCAATTGGTTCTCAACTGAAGTACTAATTTTTAAATGTTCAGTAATTTATTTTCATGTTATGGTCTTGTATTATGACGTGTGTTATGAAATCAAAAACATTTGTTGAATAGCTTGATATACATTGTTTGGTCTATTTCCTAATAGCTTGAGTTTTTGGGACAATTGGTGACTTAACAGTATTAAAGACAAAGTTGGTCCTAATTGCTTTGGAGAGGTATGAGAGATAGAGGCAGCCATAAGTGTTGTGAATCGTGATGAAGGAATTTGGTGACAAGAGGCAATGGCTATTGAGAACAACATTTCAAAAGGCAAAAGGCCTTTGTGATATTGGTAAAAGCTTTTAGAATTTTAGATGTTTAAGTGATAAGGAATATCATAATCAACTGTTTCTTGCCAGAATGTAGCTTTTCAAAGAATGATATGTTCTGGAGTACAATAGTAGAAGAGCTTCTTCATTTCATGCAAGTACTCGGGCTGTCTTTACTATCATAAATTTATTTACCTTTTCATCACTCCTTAATTATTGTGAACACTTTTAATCACTTTTTAATTGATATGAAAGCTTTTAATCACTTCTTAATTGTTGTGAATGCTTTTAATCACTTCCAAAGAAAATACAGATCATTTGAATTTGTTGGGTTAATTATTTATCATATATGGCTTAGTAGCTTCAACATCTGTTATCTGTCCAGGGCCGTGAATCATTCCCTTCATATGAAAGTCTTGAGCAGCTTCACCGTTTCTTTGTTTGTTCTTGTTGTTACCCATGTATCATATAGCTTTTTTGCCATTGCCCTTGCCATGATCAAAGTCAGTGTTTCTTCTTCAAAATGTATCATCTTTCTGTATCTTTGGAACTTTTTTTTCTCAAGAGAGCCCTAAGATTTTCTTCTTGTACATGCAGATTTATAGCTAGAGAACATGGGAAAATCAAGCGAAGTCGATGGCTCCGGAGGAACTACAAGGTGCGAAAAGTTTTATAGGGGTGATTTTGTTCTTTTCCTTTTTGAAGTACCCTTTATCTTTTAAGAGTTTAGTTCAGATGTTCTTCATTAGAAAATTTCTATCATGCCATATTGAAATTTTAATCTAGGTTCCCCGCAATCTGCCTCAAACCACACAAAAATGAGGCGACTATCAACTTTCATTTTTCACCACACATCCCATCCATGGAGCTAGCATAGAGTTCTTGTTTGGCTGGTAATGCACCTTTTTAAATTATTGTGTCTTTGCGATGTTAAAATGTGTTTTTTTTGTTGTTGTTGTTATTTATCTATTCAATTGGGAAATGAATTTGCTGGTATACTACTAAACATCCTAAATATGTGAAAATGCAGCTCAAGTAATGATTAGCTGAGGGTCTTACTTGAACATGCTTCCAGTTGCTTTGGGGTGGTAAAATGAATATGAAGCCTAAGAGAAGTTGTAGCTGCTGAAAGACGACCTAGGGCATTCAATATGAAAGGATAAAAAGGGCTTCTTGTTGTAAATATGATCATATTTCTTGAGAAGGAAAAGTAAATGCATTTTGTTAGGTACTGATGGTCACAAATGGTTTCGATGATTAGATAAGAAAGATTAGTGTACCATGCGGATAAAATCATCAAAAAATAATTAGGATATGGTTTGTGGTTCCCTTGAACTTGAATGGCTCCATAGGCTTTTAAAATTTAAATAAAGAATTTTATCTTCTTGAATAGAACCCTAGGGGAAAGTAGGTAAATTCTCCACATTTTCTAAGGTGTATGTACTTTCCTGTTTCTTGGAATTACAGAATTTAATATCCATGTGGAGTAAATATTTACTAATAGTGTCTTCTATCTGATAAGTTCAACCTGGAGTAGTTCTTTATGAGAGCCATCACTTTACTCAGTTAAGCAACCATCTTTAAATTAAGAAATTAGACTTTACTAGGCAACTCATTCCCATTTCCCAGTCGAAGTCCTTGAGAAACTTCCAGGAGATGGCAATATTTCTGTTTTACAACTTGGTATTGTGGAGGAGTAATTACACAAGTTATGGTTTAAGAAAATTTGTATGGTGAAAACAGAAAAAAGCAGGCAAAATTATAACCAAACAGACATGAAGGATGATTCCTTTTCTGGCTTGATCAACAAAGTATACCTTCCTTAGAATGTTAGTCAACCTAGATCGGTTCTGACTCTTCATGGTTCGATGAGGCATACTATTTTTACAATGAAATGTTATATATTAAGTGAATGGTACAATAGATTCAAGACGATACCCAAATATCCGTTCAAGGCTTCAATTGTAGGATTCTATTATTTAGTTCAGAATAATTCACTCTGTTTCTTTTATTTTCTAGAGTAGAAACATTTCTTGAATCAAATGACAACCAGTGACACGGAGTCTTGACCTTGCACACTTGTGTATGTGTACACTGTCATCACATTTTCTTAGTTAGATTATGTGCTTTTACATCCAATTTAAATTGTTTCACAACCATTTAGTTTTGTACTAATGAACTCTTTAATTATATTGCTTTTATCTCTTGGTTTTCGGTACTCTTGGTTGCTTTTTATAGTTATCATTTTGCCAAGTGAGTTCAGAATTCAAACTCAAGCTATTTCAGTGTACAACTTTGTTTCAGCCGCCAGTTTTGGAGTTCCATTAATCGAGCTGACTACATGGCCTTGCTCTTGGGCTTCATTACTGTAAGCATATTTACATGGATCTTTCCCACCTATATATTTTCATTGTGGACCATCAGAAATGGTTGATCAAATGCAGATTGCAGATTTCTGTCTCTCTTTGAAACTCTTCATTTCGAAGCCTATACTCTTGACTAGTTCTAGGTTTGTATCAAACAAGCAGTCACTTTTTGTTTCTCTAAACTGATGGGTATATTTATTGATAAATGAGAAAATTAATTGTATTATGACATTTTAGAAGCTTCTAATGATTTACTGATAGCAACATCATATATACAACCAATCACCACCTTTGTACATTGAACAAAATTAATTGTTTTCTATATTTTTTGCTTCCTTAGTCTCTGCAATATTCCATAATTTCATCTGGAGGATATTGTAATGTGGGTGGATCAGATCAGGTCGGGTTGACCCATTTGTACAAAATCTCAGCTCAAGATATATATATGCCCATTCCAATAACCAGAGCAACACCAGAAACCCTTCCATCAAAGAACCAAAACCCCATTTGTTCTATTCTCTTTCTCTCTCTCTCTGTTTCTGCACTGTTGTAGAAGAAGATGGTGTACTATCAGAGATATCATCATCCCTTTAACTAGGGAATAGAAGTTGTTGACGAAGATGAGGATGAATCACAGACTACCCTTGCTTTAGTCTGTGGAAACTCTACTACTAACAAGAGAACCAGTCCCAAACTTCTCTATCTTCTCTCCTGCTGCTTGATTTTTGCTCGTTTAGACTTGTCTCTCTTATGTAAGCTCTTCCTTTTTCCATGCCTTTCCTTCTTTTTTCCCCTTGATTTCTCATCCTATTTCTGTCTCCTCATGTTTTTTTCTTCTGGGTTTTGCAGATTCATTTGGACACGAAGATGCTAGAATTGTTGCTGAGATCGATGTAAATGCTCCCCTTTGTTCCTCAATCCCAAATGGTTTGCTCTCTCTCTCTCTCTCTCTCTCTATATATATACATATATATATATATATGTGGGCTATTTTATATATAGTTTGGGCTTTTGGTGTAATACTATCAATATGCAATTGTATTGAGATGACTATCAATAATATCTTATATATTTGTTGGAGCTCTATTCTTCACTTTTGTTGCCCTATTCTGATCTTCTTCTTCTTGGTTTCCGGCATGCCAAATATTGTTCAGACGATCTGCCTCTATGGGGTATGTATTAACAAATGATTATTAAATGGTTGGTTCTTGTTCTTATTCATTAACTTTAGTTTTTGGTTCATAGATGTTTACAACCATTCCATGAGCTGTTGAGTTGTTTTTGGGTTTTATTATAAGCAAACGATTTTCCTTCTCTTCTTTTTCTTACTTGTTAATGTCTTTTTTTTTTTTGACCGTGTAGCTTTATTTTGGAATGTAAACACAAACTTGTCCAATTAATATTTTCATTTTTTATCATTCTTTAATTAACTTTTGGGGTGAATTTTGCAGAGCAAGAAGATTAGGCAATACAAATAAATAAAGGAGTTGAAGGTTTCATCAAGATCTCGGCGTGGAGAAACTCTGGCTGAATTCTGATTTCCAAGAATTTTTTGGATTGGAAATCTGTTCTGTATACAATAAAGCTGCAATCTTCTGGGGATTTTTTTAACAATTTAAAAACCCTTTTGTTACATTTGAGCCGTTAATTAGCTCACACTCGATTTCATTGAGAATTCCAACCTTGAAATAGGGGAGAACAATTTTCAGCAGTTCGGAACATTATTGTTTGATGATTTGAAGTCTGGAAGTTTACATTGGAAAATATGGAAAGGTTTTTATCAGAAGTTCTAATGGACAGTCAAAATGGAGGAGGAGAGTCATTGATTGGGACTATAAAGATAGCAGTTTTACCCATAGCAAAGGTTTTTACAGTTTGCTTCTTGGGATTTCTTCTTGCTTATTTTAAGCTATTACCAGCCAATGGAAGGAAGCTTTTAAATGGGGTAAGCAAGCTCATTATTATCTTGTTTTTGTAAAGAGTATTGAATTATCTAGCCGATGATCTAGTTTTTGTATTGCTGTATAACTTGTAGATTATATTCGTGTGTGTAATTGGAGAGATCTCTTTTCTTTTTCTTTTTAAATATTTTTTTTATTGGTAGGTGGAAATGAAGAGATCTTAGTGCAATATGAGTAGGAGTCTTGGTGATTACCCTTTGTACTATTTGTCAGCTAGAATCTAGGCTGATTGAGAAACCAACAAGATTTAGTTAGTTGCCCTCAACTTGTAGAATTGTGTAAAACATTGTGAATTTCCTCCAATGTAGTTTTCAGTTTTGCTAAAGATGCTAGAATCAATGGGCAATGAGATTTTATTATTACCAAGTGTTTTTTTTTTCTTCTAGAAAATAAAATCTTTCTACCTGTCTTCTTATTTAGTGTTATCTAGTGATATGCCAATATATGCAAACTAACTGATTGTTCAAACTATGTGGTGCAGTTGGTTTTTTCACTTTTACTTCCATGTTTGATATTCTCTCAACTCAGACAAGCCATCACTTTAGAGAAAATGATTGAGTGGTAAGATTTAGGTGTTTTTCTTTTTTCTGAATAGCAATAGCTCAGAGATTTGTTGTTTAAGCAAGCATTTTTTCACCTTTTGCAGGTGGTTCATTCCTTTTAACGTTGTTCTAGCTACCATATCAGGGTCGTTAATAGGTCTACTTGTTGCGTCCATCGTTCGTCCACCATACCCATTCTTCAAGTTTACTATCATACAAATTGGAATCGGTAAGCTGCTTTAAATTGTGAAGTTAGCATTTTTTAATGATATATGAAATGCTCCCTTAGCTTCTGTCAAGTATTTATCCTGATTGTTTTGGTTTCTTACTTTGTAGGAGAGTCCTGATGTCCACTTTTACTATCAACATAGAGTAGTCTATATATATATTGTAATTTTAAAATTAAGTTCAATGTTTGATTGGATAATTTCTATATATATTAACATGGAGTAGTCCATATATATATAGCTTTATTGAGTAGTCTAGGCTTGATTCATCCAAACCATGGGGAGCGTATCAAACAATTTCTTCGTGATAGCCCATGCAGTACCAATGTAGAGGTGCTAGCTCTCTATAATCTATTGTTCGGTTACTTTTGTGCACCATGAATTTCTGTTATAATAGTGTTGGAAACTTTGATTGGTGCAGGTTATACATCATGGTGCATGCTTGGGTCTGGGCTTGGTAGCTCTTGGAACTACTGATGAAGATATCTATGACGACGTAAAAACTGTGCTTTATACTGACAGTGCTGTTTGTGGTTTACTGTTTGAACCTTGTACTTACATTCTGTAAATTATCTAGTTATTTATTTAATATTTTTCTCAATTAACCACAAGATGAGTATTATCTCATCAACTTTGCTATTGTTTTAGCTCAGAAGCGGTTAATTTTGTTAGGAATCAGCTTCGGCAACACGGAGATGTTCAGGTAAAAAATTTGCCTTAATTCTGGTATACCAGTGTTATGGTTTACAAAGCTTTAACTTCTTTTGTTCTGATTTTTGTTAGCTTGTGAGGCGCTTGGAAGAGCAGCTTTGGTAATGGATGCGTGGATGTTTATTTTTCTTGCACAATGCTTGATCATACCTGCAAATTTATCTATATTACAGGATCGACGTTCACAAGATAATGTCAGCATCATCATTGTTGATTTGGGGTATGCACTTGTATGCATTAAGTTAATTTAATCTAATGTTTTCCATTCTAATCTAATGTGTCAATCTATTGTACTGATATTAACCTTTCTAATTTGGTCTTGGCTGTGACTTTTGCAGGAGGACAAATTGGCAAAGTTTGCCTTGTTCAGAAATAAAATTTTGTTTATGAACTGGGCCAAGTTTTTGCTACTATCGGTATTGTGTCATTAGGAGTATGGATGTCTTCTCTGCTTTTTGCATGAGTTCTCAAGCCTGACTTTGTAAATAAATCCTTACGGATTTCTAATATATTTTGTGTCTAGATATATTCTGCAATTGTACAAGTATCACATCTTATTGCATTGTTTTTTATTTTTAATTTTGTTTTCAAACTTAGTTTATTTATTATTTTAATAAATATCAATTATTAGTTCTTAATAATTGCTTATGATAGGTATTTTTTTCAACCATATAAAATTAGCACAACTTTAAAAATAAAAAAATAAAAATAAAGGCTATGGCGGCGTTTTTTGAACGTCACTATATCTCTACCCCAACGGTTAAATTTTTAAAATGTATAAATGTCTTTAACGGCGTTTCCAAAATGTCGCTAAATGTCATAGTGACGTCACAGTAAATTAGGGTAGGACATTTGGCGGCGTTTTTAATATAACGACGTTTTTCAAACGCCATAAAGCTATAGCGACGGCCGCGTCGTCGGCGTTTGGTACTAAACGTCACAAAATTAATTAGCGACGTTTTCAGTACCTATAGCGGCATTTTTAAAACGCCGCTAAAAGTCGATTTTCCAGCAGTGATATGTTTTGTATTTGCTCTGCATCTGCTCTGTTACGCTAAGGGATGTACCACGTATGACTAAGCATGAATTATGAATTCTGTATATGATTTGGGCAAGAATGTGAATATGAAATTATTATGAATTTGGCTTACGATTTCTGAATCTGTATGGACTTCATTCATTAAAACCCTTTACTCTGTTATTATTCACTAGGCTTCCACTCACTATTTATGTTATATATGTAGGTGAGCAAGCACGTGACCAGGCCTAGAGTTGACGGCGTATGTTCCAATTTTGTCAGCCAACCCTTGTGCCTCCCGAGGAAGTTCCTGTTGGAGTCAAGTTTCCATGGCTGTTTTTGTAATCATTTTGGATTCTGTTTGTTTGGTTAAGTCTGGATGAATTTCTGATATTACACTTCTGGGAGTGATATGTAAATACTGTATCTTTTAGTCTTCATCACTCGTATGTTTATAAAAGTTTTTGATTATTCGTCTCATGTATGTCATCATAGCTCCTTGGACCTCGTATATTTTGTATATTTGCTTCCGTAGCCCCTAACTGTATGTTAATCTGTTAAGAGGCCTTCGGTAATCAAAAAATGCAAAATGCAAAATGCATTAGAAGTTGTTTGTCCGCTCGAGCGGCCGTTTATGCCCTCGAACGGAGAATGTTTGGTTTCAGAAGTTTGACCTGTCTGCAAAAGTATTGGAAAAGTGTATTTGACGCTCAAGCGGAGCTTTCCACGCTCGAGCAGACCATATTATATTAGTTCGTGAATTTGATATTTCATATCACTTTTGTATATCTCTCTCTCTAAAAACCCTTTCCTCTCATTTCTCTCTACATTTCCCTATGCCAAATTGGATCAAAACCTTGATTTCTCAAGATCCATTAGAGTTCTGCCATAAGTTCTTCATCAGTTGGTTAACTTCTCGAGGGCTTCGTTGTGTGCGATGAAGATCGAGTTTCGGCACTGTTGAATTTGGGGGTTTCATCTCATTTCTTCTTCAAAACTTGAGGTAGGGATTTTCTTAGAGTTAAATATATGTTTTTGCAAGATCTATATGATTTTCGGAATCATCTTTCGATAGCTTTGAAAATTGATTGTTAATTTAAGAAGTTGAGCGATTTTGAAAGTGGGTTTATCTCTTGTTCTTTTAAAATGATATTATAGGTTTTGATCTTCGTTGATTGATGAAAAGATGATTTTGGAAAGTTTTCTTTCAAAAGATTTGAGTTGTATAGTTTTGGTGAGAAAACCTAGAATTTGGGAATTTTTTTTTAAGAGACTGAAAATCCATGAATGATATTGTTATATTTATTTTGTATGTCAAAATAGATGAATGTTTAGAAAATTTCTTATTTATAAATAATGAATTTTAGGGTATATGAGAATTATTGTTCATTTTGAAAATTATTGTTCAAAACATTGAAATAGTGTTGAAATGACTAATTGTTGAGGATACTTGAGAAGAGGGAATTGTGTTATTCCTTGGATGATGAATTGAAATAAAAGTATTTATTTCATCTTGTGTTATTGGCATATCAATTTATTTTATTACATTAAACTTTGAAAGTTGATTTGAAAATTTGCATTGAGAAAAAAATGTTGAAAAATAAGTTTTCATGGAATGGTTTTGGAGTAAATATGTTGGTAAGTCTTGATAGGTGGTGCAGATGATATTGAATAAGTTGGCTTGAGAGTCCGGGGTGAAAGACCGAAAACCCGGGCGGATAGGAGTCGAGCCTTCCGGTTAATACCGATAAAAATGACAAATTGGTAGTACTTGTATAGTCTACTTGCAGACACCGACCTAGGGATTACCAGAGTCGTATTTACTGCCCTTGAAATAAATTGTTAAGTTTTGAATAATTGAAATTGCATGATATCATTGAGCATGATGGTTTTCAAAAGATGAAAATGTGATTTATCTTCAAAAAAGGCATAGCATGACGTGTGCATTTCATCTCTTGAGACTTGTATAAAATGTATATACTTTGTTAAGAATTTCCTACTGAGCTTTATGTTCACCATACGGGATTTTTGTAAAGGAAAAGATGTCGTGATTCCACCCAACTAGGGGCATGGAAGTATGTGTATTGGGAGTACAATGCTCTCATTTTGCTGTGACTCTGTGTGTAAGCCAAGGGCTATATGTGTGTGGGCTTGAATAACCATTTTGTGTAACCAGGCTTAAGCCTTGGACACTTATAAACCCTTGGGGGTATTTATTTGTTTATTTACTTGTTGTTGGATTAATGTATTGTTGCATGAAGAACTATTGTATCACGTAATGTAAGTTTGGAGATTTATATTTGGTTTTCCTTGAAAGAGCCATGATTTTTTGGGTGAATAGTTGTATTATTATTTGGGCTAGAAATTTGGGGCGTTACAATATAGAACATTAAGTCCTAATCCTAAAAAGAAACACTGAATAGGCATATTCTCACAGACTATGTACACCAAATCAGAAGGACAGGGCGTGCAGGATCAACAGGCCAAGCTACTTCATTTCTTGAGATTGCCCTTTAATATGAGGTGAGAGAGAAGAAGATAAGATAAGATAAGAAATCTTGAAGCTAAGCTTGTTGAATTGTGAGAGGCTTCTGAAAAACTCGGCCCACCATTGAACTGGATTGCATTCTTTATCGTTGATCTTTATTTATCTTCTTCCAGACAATGTTCAGTTCTAATTTGATGAAAACTTTGTCAGGTTGAGCTGGCTTGATGCCTACCTCTTTTTTGGAAAAGTGCATTTGGCAATACCAATCTCATGGTTGGGATTCAACCATTATTTAATTGAATTAAATCTAAAAGGGTAATAGAATTTAATTTATTTATTTTTTTTTTCTGATCTTCTTGGTTACAATTGAATATGTTGATCACTTGACCATATTCACTTTGTTTTGTGTAGCTGGAATATGAAGGACTTGTTTCTCCCGATACTGATATGGGCTGATAAGAGATTTGTAGAGTTTCATAGGTTTCAAGTATGATTCATTTCAATCTGAAATTCAATGGCATAACAAATTAGGCCGCCATAGTGGGCCCTTCATGCAAACATGGAATATGCTTTTCTCAGTCATATTCAATTGTAATAATACATACATTACAATTGTATAAGCTGAAGCAATTCTACTTTAGACTTTGGTTTATCTGTCATCATTTTTGTTTCTTTCACGCCCTTATTGCTATTGATTTCAATGGTTTGCCTATATTTTCTCATCAACCAAATGGATGGTAATGAATTGTTTTGTTACATTTGTATGGAAGCATTTTTTATTCTTTCTTCTCTGTGCTGCTGTAAGGATGAGAATATTGTTTTTTGATTATTTCAGAAATAATTTTTTTGCACCATATGATGTGCCCCATTCTAGAATAGAAAACTAAGAACACTATTAATCTC